AAAAAAAAAAAAAAATAGACTGCAAACCAAGGATGGGTTTGAGAGGCCCCAGAAGAAGGAATACCAGTTGTGGGGTTCTGATATAGGCGTGGCTTCAAGAAGGTAAAGGCAATGGGGATGAATTTGGTGGGTTTTTTTGCGGCCACAGTTAACAAGTTAGAAAGTCTAACAGAATACTGAAGGAACAAGAAAAGTATAGCTGAGAATTCCAAACTGAAAGACCTATAATTTCTGTTAATCCACAAGGTAAGTGAACATCTGCTACTCAAACTGTCAACAACACAAAATTATGAACATCACTATTAAAGGTAAATTTTGAGATAGAGAAAATACTTGCCTTTGAAAATATTTAGGCAATGATTAACTAATGAGCCTTATATTGGATTTTTATAGAAGTCAAAGCAACTTCTGTAAAAACAGTAAAAATGAGTTGGCAAGGAACTACTATTTCTGTACATTTTCTCCAACTTGAATTAATGCACTCATTTTATCAGCATTTGTAAAGAATACAGTTGCAAAACAGTATTACTTAGACATCATCATACAGAAACAACAAACATTTTTATAGAGCAAGTATGTGCTAGACATTATTCTAAGTATTCTCCACGTATCATCTCTTTTAATCTTCACAATAACTATAGGGGTTTAATAATGCTCCAATATGTCCCCCACCCCAAGGGACAGGGTCTTGCTCTGTCACCCAGGTTGGAGTGCAGTGGTGCTATCATAGCTCAACTTCTTGGGCTCAAGCAATCCTTCCATGTTAGCCTCCCAAGTAGCTGGGACTACAGGCATATGCCACCAAGCCCAGCTAATTTTTCAATTTTTTTGTATAAAGGGGTCTTATGTTGCCCAGGCTGGTCTTGAGCTCCTGACCTCAAGCGAATCTCCCATCACAGCCAACCAAAGTGTTGGGATTAAAGGCGTGAACCATCATGCCTGGCCATGTTCCAATCTTATAGATGAGAAACTGTAAAGTCACAATGCTGGGATTCAAAAACCAGGATGTGGGTTCTCAAAAGTATGATGGATTCCATCTCCCACATCTATTTAAGTAAAAACCCAAATCACCTGGTGCTTCAGGAAAATTCAGTTATTTTATGCATTTCTATGGTGAAGATGAAGGAACTTATTTTACCTTATGACAAGATTCAATTATTTACTTTTCAATTTATTATGTTATTGCTATGTGCTGGGCACCATGCTAAATACTAGAAATAAAAATGGTAAGCAAGACAAGAGATTACAGGTGACTAAATAGAAAATTTAAAAGATACTAACAACAATATCCAGTTGATCCTCAAACAACAAGGGAGGGCTAGGTTGTTAGGAACACAGACTGTGTGCAGTCAAAACTCCTTGTGTAACTTTCAACTCTTCCAAAATGTAACTACTAATAGCCTACTGTTGTATGGAGGTCTTACAGTTGATCAACACACATTTTGTGTATTATATACTGTATTCTTGCAATAAAGTATGCTACAAAAAAGAAAATGTTATCAAAGCAGGGTGCAGTTGCTCACACCTGTAATTCAAGCACTTTGGGAGGCAAAGGCAGGAGGATCACTTGAGCTCAGGAGTTTGAGACCAGCCTGGGCAACAGAGGGAGATCCTCTGTCTACAAAATAAAAAAATTAAATTTAAAAAGAAAATGACCTAAGTTTACAGAAATACGTAACTTCTTTTATCTTTTTTATATATCTACAAACATTTCTATACAATACCAATCCTTTTTCCACTGTGTGCTTTAGTTTCAACGCCCATATCATCCATGCCGTCAAAGAATCCAAAGCAGTCTTGTATAACCGAAACCATTCTGCTAGACTGCCTAATGTCCATCTGTTTTTCTGGTGCTGTTTCCTCTATGTTCTCCTTATTGTCTGGCATTGCTTCAGGAGGATTTATCTCCACCAAATCCTCTTCTGTTAATTCCTCTGGTGTGGCATCTATGAACTCTTGAGACTTCTCCAAGATCCACATCTTAAAACACTTCACCCACCACCTTTTTTTTGCCATATCTAAATCTCTTTCAGGACTTCCTTGATTGGCTCTGCACCAAATCCAGTGAAGTCATGTGCAACACTGGACACATTTTTCTAGGAATTTATTGTTTTGAGCTTGATGTCTTTCATGGCTTTTTCTGTAATAATGGCTCTTCAATGGTATCATCCTTCCAGACTTTCGTGATGTTCTATTTGGGTTCTCTTCCCTAGAAATCCTTTCCATAGAGTACGATGTGTAATGAGCCTCAAAAGTCCCTATGACCCCCTGAACTGGAAGCTGAATTAGAGTTATGTTTAGTGGCAAGTACACCACTTTGACACCTTCAGTGTTGAATTCATGAGGTTCTGAGTGGCCAGGGGAATTGTCAAAAACAAAACAAACAAACAAAAATTCCCCCCAAAAAACCAAACAAACTTTAAAAGGCAGCCTCTTACTGATATAGCACTTCCTGACTTCAGGGACAAAGCACCGATTGAATTAAACTAGGAAAAGGGTTCTAATTGTCCAGGCCAACTTGCTGTACAACTGAAAGACTGAAAGCTGGTGTTTATCTTTTCAAGACTCAGGGTTAGCAGTTTTATAGATACGGGCAGTCCTAATTATAAACCTGACTTACGTTTACACAAAACAGTAGAGTTAGCCTACTGCTGCCTTAAATGCTGCTCACTTCTTTTCCTTACTTAAAAATGTCCTTTATGGCATTTCCTCCCCAGAATAGGGTGGCTTTATCCGCATTAAAGACCTATTCACACAGATAAACTTTCTCCTCAATAATTTGCTTAATGGCATCTGAGAACTCATCTGCCTCTTGGTTAGCAGAAGCTGTTTCTCTTATCTTGACTTTTTAAGCCAAATCTTTTTCTTAAACTATCAAATCATCCGTTGTTGGCATTAACTTCTTCAGCTTTAGATCCTTCACTTTCCTCTTGCTTTAAGTTGTCATCTAATGACTTTGCTTTTACTCAAATCACATTAGAATCAATAGCTATGCCTTTCTCATATCAATCCTGCACCCACATAAAAGCTGCAACTGCAACAGGTGATAAAAAGGTATTTCACAAAAAGTGCAAGGTTTTCGTAACTGGTGGCACAGCTATAGAGATGTCTTCACCAACTTCCTCTACTTCTCCTGCCCCCCCCCCCGCCCCGGCCAATGAATTCATTTATCTGGAAATGGTGGCAACCACAACCAGAGAACCTCAATCTACATGTGAAACAATTCGACTTTTTCTTGTAATGTCATGACTTGTCTTTGCTTTTTGGAAGCACTTCCAGCATCACTAGTGGAATTCCCATGGGTTCCCTGGTACTACTCAAGGTTTACAATGTTGTACTAAACATAATAAAAAATACTCGAGAACTGTGAGAGATCACCTTTTACTGAAATAATGCAATTTACCAAAGACACAAAATGTTCACTTGGGATGATGAGAGTCACAAAGCATTTTAAGTGAATATTCTCAACACTTGAGTTCACCATAATAGTAACAGGAGGCGGCTATGAAATTACTGCAGTGCACTATGTATTATAGTTAAGATTTACTGCTGAATCCTGACATCTGTTTACACTTCTCTTGACTGTGTGAAAGGCACCATGTATGTTATGTAAGCATTTTCATGTGTAATGCTTGATGCATTTTAACTTTTTTATAATAGTCTTTTTGGTATATTTTATGGTAGTAAATGAGAAAACAGACTAGCTTCTATTACTGAAGAGCAAATTCGCAGATCATTGAATTTGCTCCTCCCTCCCTAACACATCCTTCCAAAAAATAAACAAATTTTCCAAGTAGTTGAGCAATGTCTATGTCTATTAAACTACATTTAAAAGTTATAAATTTTTTAAAATTTTATGCTTAAATGAAATTCTAACAAGTGATAACCTATTCTTTATACACATTGCAATAATTTAAAATAAACTGACAAAAAAAGACAGGGGCCAAAACTAAGGTCTAGAAATTATTACTTACTGCAGGTACCAATAATTTCTTCACTTCTTCAACTGCTCTCTTCAATTTGATTTCTGCTCTGTTCTGAGCATCTTCCACAGTGATTAGTACATGTAAATCTTCATTTAGATGCTCCCAGTTGGGCTTGCCTCTATTTTGCTCCTCCTAAAAAATTTAGAGTACACGATTACACATTTTTCTCTTTAAAGAGAGAGTACATCTTTCGTAATACTAACCTGTTGTCAATAATTTCAGCTATGTTTGCATTATTTTGCTATGATGGCATTACAAATCTTTGAATTATTTTTCTGGGTCTTCAACGCTTGATTGAATGTTTGAGACTACTGGGTTAAATAGCAGTTAATTCAACGAGTATTTGCTAAGCACCTACTGTCTACCAAGCACGGAACCAGATGCTAAAGATCAGTCCCTAGAGTGCTCCTATGCAGTAAGAAACATATATATGATACTGTACTTACATCACCAAGAAAAACACTTGGAGAAACATGTCATTATTTCTACATTTTACTTACGAGTAAACAGAAGGATTTCATTCTTTAATTCAGTAATCTTTCGACTTCATTACAACTGCTTTTATAATAACATTGGTTGTATTCAACAGTAGAAAAGGTATTTTGCATATAGATGTTGTTGTGTAAGATGACTGCCATTTGTTTTAAGTATTTCATGTGTTGAGTAATTATGAAAATAGTTTTAACTATATTCTCATCAGACCATATTTTAACTGTAAGGCTACTCTTTAATTATATCAAGCCATAAATACTATTTCATAGAGACTATCTATATGTCGTTTCCTTAATGTCTTCTAGTAAGGAATATCCCCATGTTGAAAACCTTGTCAAGTTACAGGGAGGTTAAGAAGTAGAGTTAGCCATAACTTCAAAATTGTTTTATGTTTTAGAGAACAGTAAAATTATGTGTTTTTAAATAAAATAAGAATATAAGAAGTATTAAATAGCATATATAAATGCACCTGTCTCACAGCAAGGTATCACAGACAATAATTATCTGCTGTTGTTGGACCTTTATTTTAAAAGTCACTATTTACCTAATTGTTAGATTCCTATAAAAGAAAATAAAGCAGGCATAATAAAACAGCTTTCTGCAACAAGTAACATGTTTGAACTTAACCAATAAAAGTAAAAATAAATTTTAAGAGTAAAGTCTTCTGCTTTATTTTTAGTTAATATATTTTAGGATGAAAATGCATCCACACATTGTAAAGGGATACAGAAAAAAAATCAGACACAATCCTATCCTGGGCCATCCATGTCTTTCAAAGAGTGAGCTCTGAGTCAGCACAGTATCTTACAGGGGTACCATCTGTCCAACACTATGTGAACCACTAGCTCAGAATATCTGACTGTTTCAACATAAGATCACATTACATTCTTCTTGATGTCATATCTTTACAAAGCAACGTTTTTAGTGATTGCTGTAATAAAAATCAAGTCCATACAAAAATCAATGTGGAACAATAAAAGAGGGTGGCAGTATACAATCTGATTGAAAACTTTGGAGAATTTGAACAGCACCCAAGGAAACACAAATGCCATTAATAAATAACATAGTTATTTACAAATAAAATAAAAGCATAGTCTATTTCAATTCATGGTTTTTAATTGGAATTAAGTTGTTTGTACATATTTAATAAACAGAACTATGAAATATTTCTTTTTGACTAGGGTACACCCTGCAAACTAAATGGGAAACTAAGGAGTCAATGAATCAAGAAAATGGGAACCTCAGGGTTATCTGTATGGCAAGGAATAAAATGTGTATAAATATCTCTACTGTGCCAAGAAAAATTGTTATCCAGATTTCAATTGCTATGTTAAAGAATGCTAAAAATATTTTCCCACCAAAATTAGTATTTTTATTTATTTATTTATTTTTTGGAGACCTACAAAAAAGCTGCTGGTCTGGTTTTATTTGGTGGGCCTGAAAATGCACTTATTTGCCTCAACGCATAGGTATGAGGGATTTCTGCTTCCAGGCAAGATATAGTAACAGGAACCAGATTTACCCTCCTGCTGAAACAACCAAAAAACAGGCAGAACATAAAAACAAGTTTCAAGCCAGTGGATATCAGACAACTAAGGACAAACGACACAAAGAGATGGGAAAACCCGAGGTAAGCCTATGACTGTCCCCACTCACTGGCTTGAGGGTCTCCAGGCAACTCCCTGACATGAAGACACTAAGAAAGAATCCAGGGAAACTGAGGCAGCCAGAGCTCAAAAGAGTCCTGCAAGAGCTGCCACTCAACTATTCAGCTGAACACTGATCACTGCATACTTGAGAGGAAATTCCAGAGGCCAGGGAAGAAACCGCCCAAAACGATTCCAGGTCAAAGTGCCTGGCTCTGGAAAAGAACCAGATTGAAAGCCTTGAATGTTTCCCAGTGGGTAAGGTACACAGAAAGGTCTTGCCTCAGTGGTAGGAAATAACTAAACCTAGTCTGAGCACTGTTCCAGTACAAACTAAATACATTTTAAAAGAAAGACCAAATGCCTCAAATTATTTTCAACTAACTTAACTGTGTCAAATATATTTACAGGAATATAAAAATATCCATCCAACAAGGTGAAAGTCTGGCATACAATTAGAAATTAATGTGCATGTAAAAAAGAAAAATGCAACACGAGACCACCCCCTCAAAAATCAATCAAAAAAATCAATCAACCCAAATCTATCTAGAAGTGACAGAGATATTACAGACAGACATTTAAAGCTCTGTGTGTGTGTGTGTGTGTGTGTGTGTGTGTGTGTGTGTGTGTGTTAAACACTAATGCATATAGAAACTAATATAATGAAAACTGTGGAACATTTATAATATATTTGAGAAAAGCTTAGGAATAAAAACTAAAATTGTGACTTGCCACAGAAGCCTTATACATGGAGAAAAACCAGAGAATTTAAAAAGGAAATAATTAGGTGCATGATAGAAACAAAGCTGCAGTATAATTTGTCATTTTGCTTTAATGAAGGAATAAATTTTTAAGGTGTAAAACACCTTGGCCAATGCACACTTTTCTTAGTTCAACAACTTATATGATACTTTAAAATATAAAAATGAGAGAAAGTTACACCTACCCTGTTTGCTTCAAAATCAGTATTTTGGCTTACACTTTTAAAAATGATTTAAAGAGCAAAAACTTTCAAGGGTGGAGAATTAATGAAACCATGTACTTAGACTCCCGCCAAAAATTCTTCTACAACACTGTAGAGTTTAAAATGTACAAACTTGGCCAAGCACAGTGGCTCATGCCTTGTAATCTCAGCATTTTGGGAGGCCGAGGCGGGAGGACTGCTTGAGCCCAGGAGTTCAAGGCCAGTCTGGGAAACATAGCAAGACCCTGTGTCTACTATAAATTAATAAAATGTACAAACTCTTAAGAAATAAGAAAATGGGAAAGGAAACCATTTAAAAATTAAGAATCTAGAAAGCAGATGGCTAACTTAAAATTTAGTAGACTCTAGTTAAGACAGAAACTGAGTTCCTTGCAATCCCTGCCCCCCACAAAAAATACTGAGGAAATGGGCAGCAGTGGAAATGGAGGTGAGGGTGGGGCTGAGATTGCTGGACTAGATGAACTCTCACTGAAAAGCATTTCAATCCCCATATCCCCTGTCCACAAATGACTAGCTATTAAGCACTCCCTAATTCCCAGCAATAGACCAGAAATTGATTCCAAAAGGAAGTAAAACACTTTCTGAAACTGCATCAGAACAGTTGACAGGATAACTTCCAAACTGATGGCTGGGCTGTCCAGCCATCTCCCCTATTCCACATGCAAGGAGAGGGAACCCAGGCCCACATCTTGGGGGCAGGAGACTTGAACGACTGACACTTCAGAGAGTTAAGACACTGCAATGCTGAAACAAGAAAATAATGCTGTATTTAAAAATTCTGAATACAAATAGAAACTCCTGAAACTAAAACTATGAGAGCAAAGATAAAAAACTTGATAGAAGATTGGAAGAAAAACTGAGGAACCACGAAGTAGAAGATAGAGATAAAAAATGGTACATACTGTATAAATATTAGAGGACTTCTAAGAAATTCAGAAACTGAAATGACAGATGTCCAATCACCAATATAAAGAAACAGAAAGCAGAGGGAGAAAAATCATCAATGTTATACATTTTACACAAAACTGAGGGGATCTGAGCTTCCAGCTGAAAAGGACCCACTGAACTGTCACCAGAAGGAATAAATGAAGTGGACACTTCAAAACAAGGTAGCAATCGAACAATCCAATGCAGCAATTTGAGAGTAAACACTAAAAGCACCTCTTTCAGTGTTTGCGGGGGGGGGCGGCGCAGTGGAGAGAGACAGACCAAACCACCATTTTCCACATCGGGCCCCAGAAAAATCTTTCATCCATATCAAATGTCACACACAAAAAAGGCTTTAAGGTCATGCTACCGAAAGCCATGCTTATCCTACTGTAGTCCATTCCAGCTCAAAAAGAGTTAAACGCCTTCAGTTGTAATTATTTAATACAAATAGTATTTCTCCCTGTGATCTCATTCTGTTTTTTAAGCAGATTATAAAGACAACCTGGGAATGAAAAGTATTATAGAGAAATCAATAAAATACACCCCAAAAGGTCTTCTTTTAGTTATAAATTAAGTGTAAATACAATTATAGGATGCTTACTTCTAAACTCAAAATATCAATATTGGCTCACGCCTGTTATCCCAGCACTATGGGAGGCCAAGGTGGCCAGATCACAAGGTCAGGAGCTCAAGACCAGCCTGGCCAATACGGTGAAACCCTGACTCTACCAAAAATACAAAAAAAATTTAACTGGGTGTGGTGGTGGGTGCCTGTAGTCCCAGCTACTCGGGAGGCTGAGGCAAGAGAATTGCTTGAACCTGGGAGGAGGTTGCAATGAGCTGAGATCGCACCACTGCACTCTAGCCTGGGTGACAAAGCAAGACTCCGTCATACATACAAATAAAGAAGAATCCATTCACACACTTCATTTTCTTACTTTAATAAATAAATCAGGACAAAGAAAAGGTTGAAATAAGCAGAGAGGAGAGAATGACAACATGGATACACACCAAAAATGGTGTATCTATCAGAAACTGTAGTCTATTAGGCATTTCTTTTTACAATTATATTTCAAATA